CTGTCCCGCCGGGGCGGCTCTGGGCCCGGCCAAGCCCCGGGAGGCTGGTTTGTTGCGTTTGGAGCCGCTGCCGCCAGGAAGCCGTTTTGTTTCCGAAATCCCATCAGCCGGGGACGGGCAGCGGAACAGCTGGAACCGAAGGGCTGAAACGGGAGCAGCGGTACCGTGTTGTACTGCACCTGAGGTCAGCGCGGGCGTCCCGCTTCGCTCCTTGCACGGGCGTGCGATCCATCCCCACTGGAAGTCACCGGGCAAGTGTGGGAACGCACCCGCTGCCCAGATCCCCCTCTGGGGATGCGCCGAGCAGCCCGTGCTTCTGACGCAGAAGAAGCGAGACCACGGAAAAGCAAATTGAGTAGAGGTAGTTCTAGAGACGCACAACAAAAACTTGGTTAAACAGTGAAAAGGGCGTGTAGAGGGGCCCCGGCATCACAGGGTGTTGCTGCTGGTAGCAAAGATTCCACTGCCAGAGGCTGTGAATTCGGAGCTGACCGGAGATCGACTGTTCCTGTGCTGAATGCCTTCTCCTGGTGCTTTCTCCTGCTCCACGTCAGCTGTTTCAAAAGAACAGAGGCAACCACTGCACCAGCACGTAGTTCGAATAACCGTTATGTTTCAGTGTTTAATCGTTTGTAAACTGCTGTAGCTTGAAGGTTAGCATTTGTGTAGATACTGGAAAAGAGCGCTGCTGAGCCCAGAGTCTGGAATGTTTGATCCCTGTAGGAGTAGTCACGTGCCTTATTGTAACTGGTGTTAGCAAGGCGCTGCTGTCCTTCAGCACGTCAAGCAGTTCACTGGCCAGATGCTTGGTACCAGCTGCGTCCCTTCTCCAGTGGGAAACTGCCCCACGTTTATTCCAAGGATACGAGCTGTGTGTTTTCAGGAATGTCAGATAACCCCTGTGCTCTGAACCGAAACCACAGCGTAACAAAGGCTGAACAGAATAATGATGGCTTTCTTTTACTGTAGGTCAGGAAGTATCCCTGGAAGCTCAAATGTGGCCGCGGGCAGTAATCGGCGTCTTCAGCAGACTCAACACCAAGTAGATGAGGTAAAATTCTGATAGAAGTGTAGTCATTTTCCATAGGAAACCTGTGTAATTAGAAGGGTTTTTTTGGCCAAACCATTCAAAGCCTAGTACCATTCAGCTTGCTTTAGTGCACTTGTGTCATCTCAACTCTTGCAAAGATTTAAAAAAAAGAAAAAAATCCACGCAGCTGGAGTGGGGAAATCAAGAGACGTTACCAGCGTGCAAACGTTATCTGCGAGCACGGTGCTTGGGGATTTGGTGTAAGTGAAGATAAAAGCCTTTATTCATGCAGAGAACAAGCTTTGCTCCCTGGAGGCTGACCACCAAATACGACACCCCCAGATTTCTGGGGAGCGCAGAAGCCAGGTTGGCTACTGACAGCATTTTTTCCAGCCACAGGTGAATTCCAGGGTTTCCTTTAGGCTGACACTAAAAGGCAACAGCTCCTGTTTCTGAGAAGAGAATGTCGAGTACCAGGCGTTGCTCTCTGCCTGCAGTTAAGTACCGCAGCGGGTGACAGAACGAATAACTCAAGCGTTAAACCCGTGCAGGTTGTCGACATCATGAGAGTGAATGTGGACAAGGTGTTGGAGCGCGATCAGAAGCTGTCAGAGTTGGATGACCGTGCCGATGCGCTGCAAGCAGGAGCTTCCCAGTTTGAGACCAGCGCAGCCAAGCTGAAAAGAAAGTATTGGTGGAAGAACTGCAAGGTAACCGTGGCTCGTATCCTTACGCTGCGCAAATTGCAATTAACACGCCATCAGCGTCTCAAAAGGCAGAGGGGACTTTAGCCAATGTTAGTTCATAGCATCTATTTTTAAAGTCAGGTAACCAAAAGCTGGGTTACCAGCCGTGCTGCGTGATGCACGGCCCTGTCTAAGGTGGTGATGGGCAGAGGGAAGCACCTCGGGATTCTGAGGGTTTGGGGAAGGGGAGGAAAAAGGCCTAAAGCGCGTAGGTTGAGTTCGTCTGCAGGAAGCAGACGGAAGCAGGAAGAGCTCGCTCGGATTCCCTTACCCATGGCTGTTGGCAAAGGTTGGAATCCTCTTTGAGCAAGAGAGACAGTGAAAGCTGTGGTACAGGGTAGGGGTAGGAACAATGTCTACTAGTTCTTTACTCCTGCTTGTATAGTCCGAGACGGGCTTTGCAGAGAGGCACAACAGGAAAGAACCTGCTGGTCTGCTTTGCCCGTGTGCGCAGCCTACCACCCCTGCGTGGTGACGGCGAACCGGGCTGGCTTACTCAACAAGTTCTACTTGCCATCCTACATCTCGCACGCGGTGCGAAAGTACCTCGCAGGGGCTGCTTTGCTGAAGGCCGGTCGGTGCTGCTGCGTGGTCTGTAGCGTGTTGTGTGGCTCTCTTCACAGATGTGGGCAATATTGATAGCTGTGGTTGTCATTATCATCATCATCATCATCGGTAAGTGTCACCACGGCGGGGGTTTCTCATAGAGTTGGAATAGGTGGTGCTAATTCACTGGCTGGTACCGTTTAATTAAGGCTGGGAGACTCAAAGTACACAAAAGGTGAACTAGAAACAGCGGCGACCGTAATGCCTGTTGCCTGTGGTGTGTGGCCTGGGTGGGCGCTCTGGAGCTGAAGCTCAAACACCCGTGCGGAGTGAAACGGGTGGAAGCAGGGACTTGGATACCAGGAACGACCTTGGTTTCTTACAGCTGAGCACTGCGGACTGTGTGCCCCCCTTGTCCAAGAGCTGGGGTTTACCCACCCCTGCTCCGTGTCTGGGGAATCCTTTCCGGTGTGGCAGTTCCAAGTGCGCTGCCGTAGTAGGTCAGCTCTTTTCAAGTAGGGGCTTTGCTGCTGGGTGAAATGATGCTAATGTTGGGTCAGGATAGCCAGGAACATGTAGGTCAGCCTTTGGTTGGAATTCTCCGGGCATCCCCACGTATTTCATGGGAGGACAGAGCTGAAGTTTGTGCTGTAACACGGCGACAAACACTGCCGTAACTGCTGGCGATGGGTAACCTGGCGCTGGGTGAGAAATACCAGTGTGCGGGCACAAGGGAAAACAAAGTTTGGGAAAACCAGCGCAGGAAACGCCCAGATCCCACTTTCCCCATCTCTATCATCTTAAATTCTTGAAAGGGGGGATGGCTGTGGTGAGGGGCTGTAGGAGA